AAAAAAAAAAAGAACCCCCCCACCATCAATGGTGTCCCACTTTACCAATATTAAAATCTGATCACCTTATTCATAGGTGGATGGCTACAGTGTCTTCCCTCACTAACTCATGCCTGTAGGCAGGTGGGCTGAAATGGTCAAAGATTGTGTCTACAAAAGGGAAAAATGATCATGTTCATCCCCTAGTTACCTAGAATTCACTGACATTTTATCTGAGAAGACCAAATAAATTATGATATCAACTGCAAGTGGACCATTGTGGAGATACATAGTTCTAGACAAAAACTGGAAGAGTCAAGTGGCATGCACTTGCAACCTTTCCCTGCAGTCATGGCCCTACCATCACTGATATCATATGTGCTTAAGAACCCTTAAAGAACAAGGCATTTCAGTGGGAAAAGCACTGGTGTAGGCTGGGTGGGGTGGCTTTTACCTGTAATCCTAGAACTCTGGGAGGCCAAGGCAGGTGGATTGCCTGAGTTCACAGGTTCCAAACCAGCCTGAGCCAGAGCAAGACCCCATTTATAAAAATAGCCAGGTGTTGTGGCAGGCATCTGTAGTTCCAGCTACTTGGGAGGCTGAGGCAAGAGAATCACTTGAGCCCAAGAGTTAGAGGTTGCTGTGAGCTATGACACCACAGCATTCTACTGAGGCAACAAAGTGAGACTCTGTCTCAAAAACTAAAATAAAAAAAATAAAATGAGTTTAGAGGGCCAGGCATAATGGCTGAAGCCTGTAATCCTGGCATGTTAGGAGACCGAAGTGGGAGACTATCTTGAGGCCAGGCTTTTGAGACCAGCCTAAGCAAGGTAATGCAATCCTGTTTCAATAAAAACATTGAAAAATTAGGGTGGTGCCTGTGACTCAGTGAGTAGGGCGCTGGCCCCATATACCAAGGGTGGCAGGTTCAAACCTGGCTCCAGCCAAACTGCAACAAAAAAATAGCCAGGTGAGGGGCAGCACTTGTGGCTCAGTGGGTAGGACACTGGCCCCATATACTGAGGGTTACAGGTTCAAACTTGGCCCTGGCCAAACTGCAACAACAACAAAAATAGCCGGGCGTTGTGGTGGGCAACTATGGTCCCAGCTACTTGGGAGGCTGTGGCAGGAGAATCGCCTAAGTCCAAGAGCTGAAGGTTGCTGTGAGCTGTGACGCCACAGCACTCTACCGAGGGTGACAAAGTGAGATTCTGTCTCTAAAAAAAAAAAAAAAAAAATTGAAAAATTAGGGCTGCACCTGTGGCTTAGTGGGTAGGGTGCCGGCCCTATATACCAAGGGTGGTGGGCTTAAACCTGGTCCCATCCAAAGTGCAACCAAAATATGGCCAGGTGTTATGGCAGGTGCCTGTAGGCCCAGCTACTTGGGAGACTGAGGCAAGAGAATTGCCTAGGCCTAGAAGTTGGAGGTTGCTGTGAGCTGTGAGTGTTGCCAGAGCATTCTACTGAGGGTGATAGAGTGATACTCTGTCTCTAAAAAAAAAAAAGAAAAGAAAAAGAAAAATTAGCGGGAGTGGTGGCACATGCCTATAGTTCCAGCTACTTGGGAGGCTGAGATAAGAGGATCACT